CTTTCATTTGGAGGTATCTGCATAATTGGTGATTTTCGCACGATTGCTCCCAATACTGCAGCTTTGACTGCTGTTCGAATATGGATGGATTGTGGCATTGAACTCGGATATGTAGTGAAAAACCATTTCATTATCACTCATCGACAACAACGACCGGGTTATACAGACTGGTACGCATTATAGACACTGAAATGTTTAATTTTCAGGCCTAACTCCGATCTGACTGCCAGGCTAGTTCAAAACAGAAAAGCGCAACATCCACTTGAGAAAAGTTTTGTAGTCTGTCAGCTTCAATGGAGATAGTCAGGTTCCCTCGTGCACCTTGTGTAGTGAAGTATTGGTCATTTTGTTAGAACTCTAATGTTTTTCGAAAAAACGTTTTATTTGTGTCTTAACCCGATAAACAGTTCGTCTACTTCTCTCGCCGCTTTCCAGAGAGGAATCGACTGATCACACACAATTTCCATAAAAGACTATTTATTTTAATCGATGTAGCCCGGGTGATGGTGCGTTCAATGTCGTCAGAACTTGGCCTCGCTTCTGTTCATATCAACATGTTGATACCAATTTCACCGATGGCGAAATTGCACCATCGACGGCTCGTAAATGGTGCGAAGGAGAACTAGATTCGTCAACATCGGCTGTATCTTCGTCGTTGTCAAACGTGATCGCTTTGATTATTTCCTTGCTAGCGTCGCAGCGTCTATTGTATTCGTTCTAAACATGCGAACTTTTTCTCTCTCACTATTTCATTAGAATGTTCGAATTTATTTTACAAAGAATTATGGTCGAGCGCGAGAAGAGTCAATGATCGGCTTCTCTGTAGCATGTTAGTCAGATATTGTGCACCTTCGTCTTTGATCCCATTCCACTCAAGGTAGTTCTTTGAGAATCGAATTATTCATCGAGAATACCTGCGCTACATAGAGTGCATCCATGTCAGATAAATGATTGCCGAAAAGAACCGAATGATCCATTATTGTGTTATTGTGCAACGCATTGGCTAGAATCAAGGCACCACGTGATGTTTTCTCTTTGCTCGATAAGGTGAGTCCTTTGCACTGTTTGTTGATTGTCGCATGCTGGACTACAATCGGCATGTCTCGGTCGGTTGAGCATTATTCCCAAACCGGTGAAAAACCGGTAGATCCGACCGATTCAGAATCAAACTAGGCTATTGAAAAATCAGCACAAACTGCTAGAGTTAGTAGACTCAGCAAAATCAAGCAAGACAGCTTTACGAGGTGGGTCAGATTTTCTGATCTGACTTCAGCTATTGATTAAATTGAAGGTTAGTGTTTACCGATTGTTTTTCGAAATTTTTTAAAACTTAAATTGTTCTTATTACTCCTTATATCTCAATCCTGTTCATTTCTTGAGAAATCCTGGAAGACTCTTTCAGGATCCTGAATCTCAAGGATCTTATCAAGTTTTATTCAGTGTCCGGTGTCGAATCCTAGTAATTCCTGTTCCCAGGAATTTTCAAGGTGAAACAAGATCCTGTTCAGGATTTCTTCAAGTTTCTGCTCAGATATTTGTTTGAGTTGATAATATGGGATCCTGTCAGGAGTTGGGGTACGACAGTTCGGAAAAGTTCTGAACTGATGAACTGTTCAACAAACAGAGTTGAGCCGAACTGCTCGAACAGTTCAGCTCAGCTAGCAGAACTGAAAGGGTCCGATCCTGTGGGGGTAGACATAAGTCCTCATGGGCTATCCTAGAGGGTACCCATAAGTCCTTCAGACCTTTGAAAGTGCACAGTCTGGCGCTATTGGGCTCTCGGCTGGGTGTGACGCGTATCATTTTCAAGTGGGAAGAATTATTGCGTCTTGGTTAGTTTAGCTTAGGCTCGTCTATGCTTGCTATGTATTAGTCTTTGGAAGTTGTTTGTTTGCATAATTGTTGCCGATCGTGGCCTGTCTATCTCTGTTATTGAATGGAGTTACGTGCGTGCACATAATCGTTCCCTGGGTGTTGGCTGTAAGATCAATATGATCGTTGGGCAATCTCTTGTAGTGGAACTTCCTTTGAGATGATGATGTATATCACAGGTGCCAGATGTCAAAGTCGAAAATGCGGACTTTTTCTTTTCTAAAACTCGAAAGAATTCAGAAAACCCTCTAAAATCCGGAAAAATTCAGAAACTCTTTCGGAATCCTGAAAAACTGGGGCAAACTATCAAAATCCGGACTTTTCCCACAAAGTCCGGAAGACCTGGCATCCCTGTACTAAATTCATGAAAGAATAGCTTGATTTCGTATTACGCGCAGGTTTTCTTAATCAATTCCTCCTTCGCGCATTGCCGTAAAATCTTTTTGAGCAGCGCGTAAGATGGACGCAGTGAGTCATAGTCATGGTCATGGAAGAGTGCATTGTTTTGGCCAGATGCGTCCTGCATTGGATCAGATGCTTTTCGCCTTCGGCGTCTGGTTACAAGTTTCATGATTTTGAAGGCAGTTTTCAGAAATGACTTTTGTAGTCGATCCATATGTGCGGTTGTAATGAAAGGTACTCGGTTTTTAATTGGAATGGTCTTCTGAGTGACCGTAAAGGGCAGTTCACACAGTATGCTCGCATGAAACATTGAATAGTGCATTAATAGGGGTAATCGAGTATCACTGGCTCGGGATATATATATGAACATTCAAAACTCGCGGTGAAGCTTTTCTGCATTTTACATATACTTAACATCGGCAACAATACATGAATAAAATTTTGCAATGCTCAATATCAATTAATATACTGATTACGCTTCCTCCCCGTTCCCAACCACTCTTAATTTTGCTTGTTGCAGTGAACGGTTTACAGGTTTCTCATGGGCGGAATTCCAACTTCTTTTTGTAGTTTGCGGAAAGTTTTTATCACATGAAACAGAGCAGAGATGCTAAACGCACATATAGGATAGCCCATGAGGACTTATGGGTACTCCTATTGGATAGTCTGGCTTTATTAATTCTCCGAACTGTAGTGAACTGGTGGACAGTTCTAGCGAGCTGAACTGAACTTTTAGAACAGTTCAGGAGCTGGAGCTGTCGTAGGTCTAGTTTCTATCTGTAACGAGTAGCACAGCGTGTGAGTGCGTGTGCGACGCATAGGATGAGTCAATTCTTCATTTGCAATCAAACCCAGCAATAGTTCTTTCGAAGATGATAATAATTATGAAAATTAAGTTACAATCTAATAAATAACAAGTAAACTGGTCGACTAGAGCTGAAAGCAATGTATCTAGAATATTCATTTCGGAAGATTTCAATTTGAAAAAACATTGCAGAACTCTTACGGACTTACTATACATTAATAGTTTACATTTTATGTTTTTCAAAATGATATTTCGGTGATGACTTCTTACCGAAAGTACAACCAAAAAATAAGTTCGAAATAGAGAGAATAATAGAAGCAAAGAATATAATACAAATAGAGATAAAAACTGATCATTAAGAAGGAAACTGTAAATGTCGTAAAGTGTACGGAATCAGGTACTGTCTTTCACATATCACCCGTTACTTCCTATGAATTGAATCAGCGTATCGCTACCTTTATTTGCGTATCTCAGGTGGCTGTACGACACATGAAGGGTCTGGAAAAGTTCACATTGAAAAGAATTTCATATTTACATAAAGAAGCGAAAAAAACTATTTACATTATTCGATGACGAAGTTGGCAATTTCCACGATAAATTATGAAACCTGATGATACTGTAGGTAAAATTATAAAAGATGAATATTCTAAGAAATTAAATGCTTATCTATTTTGCTTATCATTGTTGTGTATCAATGATCCTATGTACTTTTTTTTCTCCTTATCATTACGTTTTAAAAATCATATGAAAGTATACTTTCCAAGAATCCACCCACTATCCACTTTATTCTCTATGACTTTTGTATATAAGTGACAAAGTTTTTTGAGTTTTTACCATCACACAAATTCGAAAATAATTTTGTCAAATAGTGTTCCATTATGAATAATCAAATACAACAACATGTTTCAAATGGCATCGCATCGTCCGCCACAAGTGAACCCATTATTGCGAAACCAATTTCAACTTATCAGAAGTCAATTAATAGCAAATTTTCTATCTACTGTCTCTCAGAAAAGAAAAATTTGAATAAGAAAAAGTACGATTCAATAGATCAATTGAAAGCAGATGCTTTTGCCCTTTACAAAGATTGGCAATTCGACAATGATAACGCAATTCTAACACATTTTGATCAGAGCAATTCAGAAAGGTTACTGACCAGTATTCCTGAACCACAAAAAAACGGTTCACATAAAGACATATTTATTAAATTTGTATGTACTTCCTTTATAATAAATACACAACTAAATATTATTATCATTTGTCTAAGATTCATCCCGTGTGTGAAATGTGTACAAAGCCTTTTGGTATCATCGATGATCAACTTCTACTCGAATGTTCCCGAACGAGTTGTAGTCAACAGTACTGTAAAAAATGTGTAGATACTATTCGAGGACCTTATCCTGAACATCCGTTCATATGTTCTCTATGTAAGAATAATGTCATTCCAGAACGCAATCTATTAATTGAGAAGCATCTACTATGGAAAAAGTTTTGCAAACTTTACGGAGTTGAAAATTTGCACAATCTCAAATCAAATTCGAAAATAGCGACATGTCCAACTATTTCAAAAGATATTAATATTCGACGTCTTCATCTTCAAACATGGGTAAATGCATTTGAAAAGAAATTGGAAAATGGTCAGTTCATTGACGATTCTGACACACAACTTATCACTAATGTTAACCAATTAATTGATAAACTTTATGATATCGACAAGAAATTGGAAGATACTAAAGCAGTTATGACACACAATCGTATCATCGTCGGAGATTGCTTAGAAACTTACAAGAAGACATTGAACAACTTCGATATTATTTGCGAAATACTAATCAGATGTATTGAAGCCAATCAAGCAGACACAGAAACCGTGCATATGGACATTTCTAGTGATCGTAAGAAAATTATCCGAGCTTTATATCGTATGAAAGACTTAGCAAATCTATCATCCGAACAGAGTATTACTGCTATTGACGGTATTCTTCTAGATATCAGTTTTCGCAATCAATGTCTGTTACCTCGCTACGAGTTGTGCACATCGTTACTTAAAAATAGGCCTCAACTAACTGTTGCCTTCGGAACATATCTTAGGAAAGCGGATGAAATGTTGAACGCAATGCCAAGTATTCAAGAAAAATTGAACCTTTTGCGTGGGAATTTGAAAGCTGTGAATCGATATATTGATGAATATGATATATGTTTACGAGATGAAAAATTTCGAGATATTAATTGCTCAAGATTTATTATTTTACTGGAGAAATTACGTCGACAAACAGAGTACCACGAAATCAAGACGAATTTTCCTCAGCTTATTGGATTGAGTGAAAGATGGCAGAAAAGCGATGGTATTGGCGATCACTTCGAACCGAAAGTTATTAATCTATTTCAAGCAATCGACAATGATGTGAACAAAATGTTTGAAAACAAAAATTTCATTTATTTATTTTCATATAGAATTAGTATAATTGGAGATGGAAGTGTCGGTAAAACTGCATTAATGATGGCGTTGGCTAACATTGACAAAAATATTTTTTCGACAGTTGATATTGATCGAAGTACATTCAACTATTTACAATTTGATACACGTACTTATCGACATCCTCAGAGTAATAAAATCGTTCCGATTACATTTATAGACTTACAAGGTGCTACCGATGTTAAAGATTCTGAATCAATTGGAAGTTATATAGAATTGATTTCAATAGCGGATTGTGATTTATATCTTATTGCATTCGACAAACCTTTTAGTAAACATAATCGTCGTTGTCAAGAACATATCGAGAATACATTAAGACGAAAATATATTTTAGGGTAACACGAATGATGCTCCCCGGACAATTGCTCCCGCGACATTTGCTCCCCGGACAATTGCTCTCCAGCGACAGTTGCTCCCGCGACATTTGCTCTCGCGACATTTGCTCCCCAAGGACAGTTGCTCCCGCGACATTTGCTCTCGCGACATTTGCTCCCCAAGGACAGTTGCTCCCCNCAGAAAGGACTAAAAATTTGGTCTTAACCATAACTTTTTACGCTCTATCGAATGGGCAGGCTCATTTCAAAATCAAAATTTTGCCGTATGCAGGCTAGGTCGTTGCTCTCATGGAACGTCTCTTAAAAAGTAAGAATCTTAAAAGAAGGCTCCGTATTACACTCCATTCTGACATGTTGTTTCAAACAAAAATAAGTTAAATATACAGAATGAGCCTGAACAGAGAAATTTGGTTTGCTAAATGATCTATTCTTAGCCGTTGTTGATTGAATGTCTTCCAAAAACGACTTGATATAGGGCTGAAAATTTTACCATCGCCTTCCCACACCAACTCTAACATCTCATGAAAATGTAATGCGAGTTGAATGTTCCTAGACCAGAATCGATTTTTTAGGGGGAGAAGGGCCTTAAATTAGCACCCTCTACAATGACATGTGTAATAGAGGAATATAATGAGGTTGTGATTGGTGTTTTTTATTTCATCCTTGATGGTACGATGTAGTTTGTACGATGGAGTTTGAGTAATAGTGAATAGTAGATGTGACGAGCTATAGTTGCCTTGAGTCTGATCATGTTGTTGGACTCCATCACTGTCTCTTCTTTTGTAGTATTGCAGAACGTGTTACTGAAATCTTCAAAATAATAAAATTTACAATATCTTGATTGTCTGCTTTGATTGATTAATGCAAATAATTCACCACTCTGATATAGAGAGTGAGACAGAAATGTAAACAACTAGGCGTAGGAGATAAGACAAGAGAGGAAAAAAACAAAAAAGTGAATATAAAATTGTTTTTAGTTTTATATTGATAACAGAAGGAAGCAAAATCAACTGATAACCTATATTCATTGTGCGGCAAAATGAAAAGACTTCTCTTAATATGTGTTATTCTTTGTTGGATAAGTTTTCCTGTTTATCCTTTTGGTCATTCATTATTACCACTTTTTTCTCTTGATCCATCTTATATAAATATCAATCATGGTTCATATGGTTCAGCACCAAAATATGTTCATGACAAACTTCGAGAATATCAATTAAAAGCTGAACGCAATCCTGATCGATGGTTTCGCTTAGATCTTCAAATTGAAATGGAGAATTTACGAAAAAAATTAAGTAAATATATCAATTGTGATCCAGATAATCTTGTTATACTTGAAAACGCATCGGCTGGAGTAAATTCAATTCTTAAATCATTAAAATTTCAAACAAATGAAACTATATTATATTATAATATTGCATATGGAATGGTTAAATTAACATTACAATATATTTCAACAGAATTCTTTACTCCAGAACAAATTATTCAAATAAAACTTAATCATCTAACTATTCAAAATATAGATTTATTATTAAAAAAAACTCAAGATGTAATAGACAAAATAAAAAATGTTAAACTAATTGTTTTTGATCATATTAGTTCAGTACCAGCAATATTATTTGATATTGAAACCATGATAAAATATTTTCGTAAACAAGGGATTTTAACACTTGTTGACGGTGCACATGCTGTTGGTGCTATTGAACTTAATTTAACAAAATTAGATCCAGATTTTTATTTATCAAATACACATAAATGGTTATATAATCATCGAAGTGCTTGTTTACTTTATGTAAAAAAAGATTTACAAAAATTAATTCATCCAATAATAACATCATTTGGTTATTTACAATCATTTCAAAATGAATTTTTTTGGCTTGGAACAAAAGATTATAGTTCTTATTTGACTATATCAGATGCTTTAGATTTTCGACNATTTTCTATAATTACATCTCATGTAACGTACATATTTGCTCTGATGCTTGAAGAAGAGAAACTTTCTGGAATGTTCTTATAAATAACTGGCAAATAGGATAGTGTCAAAAGTGACAAATGGATGTAGTATTCTAGATATAATGTTTTTTTTAATGAAAGACGTTCTATACGTGTAAGTCTTCATAGTGTTTTACTGAAGAATTTTCTTCAACAAGCAGTAACTGAAAAAACATTTGTCTAACACTCTAAAAGTTGGTTTTGTACAAAAATTGTGTTCTCAATTCGAAAACTGCTGATACCGTTTTCCTAAACAGGACATATTCTTTTCACAAGGGGAAAAACAGATTTTGGTAACCAAAATCTTCTAAAATCGTTAAGCCTTTAAAATCTCCTTTTTCTCCTTGTCTTTTCACGAAAAACAAGTCACTGTACTAAAATCCATGAATTCTTTTAATTAATTGTCGAAGGATTAAGCTTTTTTTTGTCGTCTAATTTTGGGAAAAAGATAATTTTTTTCAAAAAGAATTAATAAGTTTTGAACGAAAAATAAATAGCATGTTCGTTGAAGGAGAAATCTTTCATCCAGAAGTGTTGACGCTAAGAAAAACTGAAAGGCGCATTACTTTCACACCGAAAAGTGTACTTCTGATTTTAAAGGTTAGTCAGATGACAATGTCCTATAATGTGAAATATATTGCGCACTGTTTCCAGGGTCTTATATATCACTTCAATAAAAACAAGATAATTAATTAATATCTTTCATCAGTTCTAATATTATCAAGTCAATTTTTTTTCATCATATTTATGTTAGATAACATATTGTTTGATCCAGTTTTTATTGGTGATTCTCATATATTAATACTATAATTGTTTATCACACAATATTTATGCATTGTTTATAATCTAACCAAATATGATCTAGACACATTTATGTATTTGAAAAAAATGGATCATGAATACCAAGTAAATATAATAGATGCAGCTGTTTAATAATATTTATTTCAATAGTAAATAATATATACTGAAAATTGTTTCAAATATTGAGTTTTTAAATACAACTTTCTTTTTATAGGCTCTTCAAGACAAGTCATATAATGCTTCACTTACGAGGAACACTAGCTCATATGAATTGCATCGTGAGTAGCAATTAAATTAAATGGAATAATCGGCTATTGACAATATGTTTTGGTTATCAGACTACGAACAAAAGGTTGTGAAAGATATCAGTTAATAAATATTTTAACTTTTGTGAATTCAAAGGAGTTCATATTGTAATTTACCAGCGAATTGTTTGATAGTATTTTTGAAGATAATATCGAGGAAAAAAATCAAATTTGTAGATTTTATTGATTAATAAAGGGTATTCTTCGATCGATTGGATGTAAAACAAGATAAAATTGGCTTTCTTTTTAATAAAGAAAAATGATATACCTTGCTATGATTGACATCCAAATGTTTATTGGTTGTCGACACATTTCGTTTAGATTTATAATATGTTGACGAATAATTATACGACTTCTTTTCCTTTGAGATTCATTATTTTCTGAATCGCCACACTACCGGATTCTAAGTTGTTTTTGGTGCATCGGTTGAGAATCGTTCAGCATAGAAAATTTGACAGAAAAAACGATGATCTTTTTCAAGATTGATATGAATTGGTTCTAAAACATGCACTTATTCATGAAGAATCACTGTAGACGTAAACAATAACCGTGAATTAACATGTGCGATGCCGAAAATATAATGCCAAATAAAAATTTATATTGATTTTTATTTTAGTTCTTTAAGTATATATGCCATCTCGACATATCCATAAATACTAATAATGCGATAATATTTCAGAATTACGATTGATTATGAAATTGTCTTGCCGAACTGGTTTCTCTTATTATATTTCTTCAGTGAACATTGTTGAGACTTCGCTCAGCTGTTGCACGCAAATAGACTTTGAAATACATACAAGACAGTTCACTAAAAAAAGCACAGCAGATTATTTCTGCATACTCCAGTGAAAAATCCTATGAAGATCTGATGAGACCTTAATTACCATTTAGAAACAACGGCGAAATTAAATAGTTTTATTTAAATTTAAATATTTTATTATGAATCATTTTTGTTGATTCAAATAGACAAAAAAAATTAATTTATATTATTTGAATTGGTCTTTCTTATTTTTTCTTTATTCTATTCAAGATGAATCATACGATCTTATTAAAATACTTTTTTTTTTCTTTTTTATAGTGAGAAATCGTTACCGTATCTTAATCAGATTGGATGCTATTGGTTCACCTTTTTAAACTTAGAAAGAAATCGTTCTTAAGCAAGTAATCAACTATATACATATATTGACAACATCTTTTTTCCCTTTCTTTTATCCAAGTAACATGAAGCATGGTCCCTTAAAAATAATAAACGTGTTTATAAATTGAGTGAGGAAAATATTCTGGTTTCAGATAAAATCTGCATTGTAAATATAGACCCTGTTTAAAATTAAGGATGAAGACTATTCGAGGGCATGGGCGTGTTTCTGCAAGTTCGTCTTCTCCTGAACAATACGCGTACACGTATCCTCCCCTCGCCACCCAATGTTATCAAGATTTTTATTTTATTTCTTTGAAGTCACACTGATTCACTTCAAGTCATTCATTTTGAACCTTGCGATTCCTAGTGAAACACTTCTTATCACAGAGACTCATCAAATATTCCATACTTATGCGGTCTATTCGTAAGTGATATTTTCATTTTGGTCTTCGCTTTCACATTTTATCTCAATTAACTTGTCTCGGTGAATATATAATGCACAATTTTTCTTTTGCGCAGATCATGAATGAAAGCAGCAGAACGATAAGACTGTCTCACAGTGAATAGAATCACTATTGTTTCTTCCATTTTTTAAGCTTAATATGCTCATTTTGTAGGCAAAAGCTGCTTTGAACCGATCGAATGATAATCTATTTTGAAAGCATAGTCTTTCAATGGATTTATTTCACTGAGAGACTGAGTTAGTCAACAACTACAAATTCATTATTTTATCATTGACGATGGGATTATTTATTGAGTTTATAGAACAAAATCTTACAACACGCAGCATTGAATATATTGTAACACAAAGAATATATGTATTAGTAATAAAAGTTAGTCACAGATTAATCAGGCATGGTTAATTTTTGGTATGTGTGGTAGTAGCTGTCATCGGATTGATCTGTCCAATACTATTCTCGCATTTCACCATTTTGATAAATTCTCGTCGAAATTCATCGTAGGTAATTATATAGAGTATGAATGAGAGCACATGGTAAGTGTAAAGCATGGAACCCAATGTATGTAAGACAGCAGGATGTGCCACAAAGCGAAAACATGCATAGGCAGCAATACCCGGTATGGTCATGAGAGAGAAAAGAAATGTTGAAACGACAAGTGTAATGGATATTGCACGATATTGGATTTGTGAATTTCGTACAGTGCTTGTATGACGTGTACGAATTAAATGATAAATAACTCCGGTATTTAATATTAGCATCAGTATGAATGGAATAATGTTATATACAACCATGTTAACAGTATCCCATAGAGGGTAGATCAGGTACAGCTTTGGTTGAAGATTGATCGAACCATCCGAATTATAGAAGCAGGCAAATATAGGAAGATGTAGGTTGAATAAAGTAAAAATCACCATAATGAATGCAATACTGATAAAAGCACTTTTTGAACGAGAAAACCATGTACGATGAAGACGACTCAATAGCAAGTATCGCTCAATACAAACGAATACACGCAGCCAGGCTGATGCTTGAAGAATAAAATAGTTGAAAAATTGAAAAAATTTGCACGATACTATCGAATATTGTTCAAGAGGAAAATTCTGAAGGTCTTCAAGATAATGTTCAAGATTCCATCCATATAACATAAGAACATCAAAAATGGCAATTGTGCGCATATAGTGAAATGCTGCCCCTCGTTTTGAACTTCTAAATGTCGGTCGACATAGGACAAGAAATGTTGTAATATTCAGTATAGTACCAGCAATCATTAGAAAAACCGGATAATAGGTGACAATCAGATCGCCAATACTCTTAGAGGGAATCGTTATATTATAATTTTGACTGCTATTCGACATTGTGGAATGTTTGAATAATCTTCGATCGATATAATTTACAGAACAAAAATTGATAGTCTTCTTGTTAAGTTAAAAATAAATTAATTGAACAAAATCTGTAATGTAGTAAAAATCGAATATCTTTTTTTTATCATGGATAACTTGCATTCAAATTAGAATTTATTTTAGTAAAAATGAATTATTTTTCAAGTGAAAAACTTGCATTTTGCATAATTCGGCCAAACTGTTCTTTCTCATCAGTGAATCAGACTCATCTCATATGAAGTGATTGATGGATACAAAATTACATAAAGCTAGATTTTCTAAGCTATTGAATATTAACAACTGGCACCTATTGAGATTGTCGCTTTTTCGTGATAACTACATGATGCGGTTGGCTCACACATTCAATGTAGTTAATATAGGATAAGACCAGAACCTCGCACTTACATCAGTTTATTTTTTTGGACAAAAACATTTTCAAATATTCTATGGCTGACTATACAAAAAAAAGGCGATGTAAAAACTAATTCTTTACTTTTTGAAAATTACGTTGATCAGTTGGTGTATTCTATTATTGGTCTGGAACATGCTTAAAGTCAATTTGAATCTAATTTTCATTTCCAGATATGTTGATCAGTACGAAGAGTACAAGAACATTGACCCGCGAGAAAAAGTCTGAGAAGTATATCTTCCATGTTAGTGGAGTATCATTAAATCATATAGAGTAGGTGGTGTATCTTGCGGTCGAATTCTCGAGTAATCCGAAATAGGACTGTCAAAGAGAATGATGTATTATTGTGACCAGTATAGTTTGGTATTCATTTTGCTGAGAAAAATAAACTAATGGTAGTCTAAAGACTAAGATTCTGATCTTTGGCTCGATCTATCATCTAACGCTCACTAATAGCCTTGACCCATCGATAATCACTGAAAGAGTTCGATCACGACTATCAGCGACTGAAATTAGATTTTTGCGGAGTAACGCGAACAATACGCTTGGGGATTTAGTTCAGAACTGAAACATTAACTTTTTTTTAAAATCAAATCCCTAATTCTTCATATCGAGAATTGAAATATGTGTTGATCGATACTTGTGCTAACAATATCACATGGTAAACTCTTCTAGCAAGCTTGTTCAGCTATGTATAATGAGAATAAAGCCAATATATCATTCCTATTTGAATTAGCTCAAGTATTTTAAGCGCCTATTTGAGGAGTAATTAAGGCTTGCATGATCTGAGGTGTTGTTCGAGGTAGAAGATCAAAACCAATAAAAGTAAATTTTGTAAAAGCTTTTACTCTTAACTGGAAAACGTGAACGAAAACTAAAATGAATGAATGAAATTGAGAGACAAAAGATAAAAAATTGAAATCTCTCGATTTTCCCCGAATTTCACTAAACTCCTTTACTAGTATATGTTTCACACCGTTAACATAGATGTTTCGTCTACTTACTTTTACTTTCTCATAATCTCATCAAGTACTCGATGTCGTTAATTTCTTTCTTTTTGTTTGCTAATAGCTGAAATTCTCATAAAGTTTCAACTGAAGCGCGAGTTGGTAATGATGCATATAACCAACACTAGTAATATTCTCTACATCTAGAAACTTTTACTCTAAAGATCAATAGAAAATCGAAGTTCTCAATCGAATGTCGAAATGAATGAGAAAAATTATAAATAATCATTTGAAAGAGATGTTCAGTGGCAATTGAATTGACTGTATATTATTCTCTTCCTAAATTTACTTCAAAATATCCAAATAAATTAATTTTGATCTTACACAAATGAGATTCAGTTCTTTAAGCAAGACGGACAGTGAAACATTTCAATATACGTATGCAAACGATATAATAGAATAGTGTTTACTCTTGATCTCTTCGTATTCCTTTCATTGCTTCCTTATGCTTGATACAAGACCGAAAAAGTTGCTACACTAATTGAAGTTTATTTTCGAATATTCTTCATGACTTTTTTTTATTGATCATACAAGAAAAGGCTCCGTGTCATCATCTTGTACTATGTGTATAGATGTTTTAATGCATAAAATACCTGTGCTGTTCAATCTTGTGAACAAAACTTTGCAATTAATAAATTTTGTAATTAAAAGTTAAATGCAATGAGAAAATCATAAAAATTAATCTAATCATGTATGACGTATTTGTTTGAAAGAGATCAACATTCAACAATAAAAAAAAATGGACACATTTTACCGTGATTCTTGAATTACTTATATCCAATAGTTTTCTAGTTTCAAGATTCTTACCGTTTGAGAGGCAACTTAAAAAACAAATACCAAGGAAAGCTTGTTTTTTGCACACTTCTAAGGTGAATATTGATGTTAGAGAAAATCTGCTCTCTATATGAATAAATCTTGAATTTTGGGAGTCATCCGAATGTAAAGAAAGAAAAACCACAAGAGATTAAAATAAACGATGCACGTCGAATCTTTGTTGCAGCTAAGAAGCTTTTCTTAAAAACTAAAGCTCTGAAAAGTAATTACTTCTTTGTCATGAATTTAGTTTAGTTCGAACGTAAGAGTCTTTCACAGTACTTGAGCACTTCAACTCATTCAATAGTCATGCAAAAACACGGTTTCTTTACAGCGGATCGTTTTTAATTCAAGAAGATCAAGAACATCACGTGAATAAGATTTCAAATGCTATTACTAGAAAATTACCGAAAAATATTTTTGCTTTTTATGTAAATTCTGGAGATAGAATTTACAAAGGTGATTAATAACGAGTGTCTGCATTTTAAGCTTTTTCCGACAATCTTTTCCATGAAAACAAATCCAAAGAATCTGTGTGTTGTAAAATCTGAAAAAAATACTGAAATTTTTGGCTTCTGTTTACGTTCAATATCCCATAAACAATTTTCTCTGATTCGTAATTGAAGCGTAAATATTTGACTGGTATTTGATTGATTTTCATCTCAAAGCTTTGTCCGGTACAGCTGTCTTGATCGCTTCTCCTAGTATATACTAGTGTTCAATTTTGCAAACACCTACATAGTTTTTGCATGCCGAAATCGAATGAAGTGTCTTCCATCATTAGATCAGTACCAAAGCTTCCGCCCGTCTTCGTTGCTTGGAGATGGTTGGTCCGCGTGAAATAGAATTTTCAGTTTTGTGCATCGAGTAAAGACAGTGTAATGTATCTCATCATTTGATGAATGTTCAAGTTAGTGTAATGATACAAATTAATCCTAAATATCTCCCTGTATTTATTTTGTTGAAAAGTATTAGATTGCTTTCATTTCAGTTTCTGTCATATCTTCTCATCAGTTCACATTGTTTTGTTCGATATACTTCTATACTTCTTTTATTGATAATTATTAGACCGCTATCATGTGCTCTTTATGTCAAATATCTTACAGCAAATAGCTATGAAGAGAGAGCAATCAGAACCATATTCGTACGACATCAATATTCGACACATAAATCAAAACAGAACTCAATGGTCGTTTGAGCCAATCACTTCTTTTCTCGTTCTGTCTGTCAATGTTTACATGAGAGGTATGTGATCGATTTGCGGAGGCATCAAGGCTTTTCATCTGTCAACATCGTTAATGTCAGAAAAGTTATACTGTAATCAAATCTCTTTAAACCATTCGTTGAATCAATATTTAGAATTCAATTATACAAGTATTCAATGTCCGATACGATGTCTATCGGTCTATATTCCAATTGAATTCATTATTTCGTGTCACTCTCATTCAATACAATGACTAATATGTATCTGAATTACTGTTTCGGTTACAGCTATCCGGGTTACGACTGACTCAACCCTTTAGCCCAAAACTTAAATAAATTATCATCATAGTTAATAGTTACGACCAACCATCTCATCGAAATCGTGTCACTTTTGGCAGTTGATCGACGATTTTTCAACCAACTTCAACAATAAGTATTAGTATATAAAAATAAATATTTTTTTTCTCCTATTTAGAACATCTGATCATCTTAATGAACAGTAAGTATTATTTTATTTAAAAAAAGATATTTTTTTACTAGGTAGTTACTGCAAATGGGGAGAAAGAAATTATTCCTCTCTTCGTTCATCAGAAACATATCAGCATGAGGATAAACGACGGTGGTATATACGTAGAGACATAGCCAAATTTGTACATCCAACTACTACGAACAGATAGAGTGATTGAGAATATTACGGAGTGGCCTATAACTAGCACTACGAGAATAAAAATGAAAGATTTCCGTGTAGGTTCAATTGAATCGGCTGATATTTTTTCATTAGGTCTTATCTCGATACCCCAAATCTCACGCCTGTAAACCCGCAAAAACCCACACTCAGCGCTACGCGCTCTCACCCACACCCACATCCTTATCATTATCCCCACCCTCCAGTTATAACTATTTTAAATAACTTAGTTGGAGTTAATTAATATAAATACTGTCTTCTGAAACTGAAATATGAATGATGTTGCTTATTCGTCTGACCCAATTTCATTTATTGTCAGTGCTCCGACTTATATTGTGCATTTATGTAGTCGAAAAAAGTCTTAAGCGTTTGAGCCTACAAGATTGAACATAAGTATTTGAATCAATGACTGCCTTTCAATCGTTTCAATACAGACGGAAATGCTGAAAAAATGAAGAGTAGTCGGAATTGAATCGGACTAATGAACTACTGATGAAATTGAATATGCGATACCTGTATCAATAAGCTTCAACTATGTCCGTTAAAACAGTTATAATCTGTCTTAACGGACTAATTTAAATCTTGGTGATAGTTACAAATTTTGATTGATTCTTCTCAGCTATCAACTTTCGAGAAACAGTTTTAACTATATCACTGATCTGAATGTATCAATACAGTAGAGATATACAGGGTTATTCGACTCTATCCTAACTTGTAGGACAGAGTAGGATAATGGTAGAAAAGTTTTTCTGAATCAGGACACAATATAAAAAAGAAAAGCTTACTCGTGACATATCTAGAATATCGAAGTCGTTAAATTCTTGAATTTTGAATTTCAGATATTAAATCACTGAAGTTCAGCATTATATTTAATATGTATGGCAAAGCTGATTTGGTTCAAATGACTGAAAGTAAGTCGATCGAAAACTGGGAAGCTCATAAAAATATTGCCAGAGATGAAAATGATGATTCATTTCGAGGAACCACTGAATATGAAATGAATCATCCACCGAAAGCACCTGGACCAGCGTTAGGACCATATTATCAATTTGTAACAACTGATTTAGAAAAGATGCTTTGGATAGGAAGCGCACTACTATTTCGACATGTTGCATATGATAGACCAAAAATCGAATTTACGTCTGAAGCAAAAATCGATTACGATTGGGAGATTTTATACAACAATATCTTTGATATGCGCGCTTATAGAATCAATCTCTATATTGAATTACGTAAAAGCAACAATGACGAAAAAATTCGCTGGATAATCGATTGGGGTGATTATTCAACAAGTGGACTATTTCATATTGCTCAATATGATCAAAAATGGCGTGGAGCATTCTTCTCGTGTAATGGCTTTGACAGTACTATGTCAAAACAGGTCATAGCAGATTTGACTTATAGCGCAGTTTGGAATCATTTGCATTCTATTCATGAAAAGACGCCATTGCATATTTTACTGTGGGGTGGTGATCAAGTTTATCACGATGGCATTTTTGAAGATGTTCCATTTTTGAAAACGTGGCGCGAAATGAAATGGAATCAGAAATGGACAGCAAAATTTGAGAATGAGCCGAAAAAAGCGGTCGAACAGTATTATTTCAATAATTATGCTGAACATTTCGAATATCGTCCAGAAGTAAAAAAAGCATTAGAATCAATTCCAAGTTTAATGATGTGGGATGATCATGATATTTTTGATGGAGCCGGATCCTATCCACCACTGCTACGTAATAGTCCAACTATGTTGGGATTATTCGAAGCAGCACAAAAAATGCGACTTCTCTTTCAACATCATACTACGCCAGAGAAAGCTCGAAAACATAAATTGTTCGGCTTTCAGGGCCATAATTTTTTCGCTTGCTGTGGTCCCAATTTAGCTGTTTTGGGTACCGATGGTCGCACTGAACGCGATGAAAAAACAGTTCAACATGAAAAAACCTGGGATATGATATTCGAAAAACTTGACAATAATCTTCAAGATGTCAAACATTTGATCGTTATATTTCCTATTCCATTTTCGTTTGCTCGTTATAGAATAGCTGAACCACTCTTAGAAATTTGGAAAAATATCACGATGAAATGGCACAATATACCGTATAGTAAAAAAACAAATTCAATCTTTGATTTACCTGAACTATACGATGATCGCCTCGATAAATGGACACACCAAGCACATATTGATGAACGAAACAACGTTCTTTTTCGTTTTCAAGATATTGCTCACAAGAAACGAGTAAGAATTACATTTTTCAGTGGTGATGTGCATTGTTGTGGTCTCACACGATTCCGAACGCAAGGAACTAATGCTCCACCATACATTCATGATGCCAAATTGATGTATCAAGTGGTTTCATCTGCCATTGTCAATAAACCACCACCGCCACCAACTATTCTCTGCGCCCATTTCTTTAAGACTAAATGGTATCCAATCAGTCATACTGAAGAAGAGTTGATCGATTTTTTTGACATAGCACCGGATAAGAAAACAAAATTATATCTTAAAAAAGTCCTTTCAAACCGGAATTGGTGCTATTTTGAACAGTGTGCAACGAATAATTTAACTGCTCATACTATTGCTCCAAATGGTTTTCTTGGAAGTTATTTTTGGCCATTCATCGACTATTGTCTATCATCGATTGGCCTCATTCACATACTAAACTGGAAACATCAAGCAAGTGCACAAAATCTGAAAAGTCAAACTTCATATACAACGTCGTTTTCTACGCCAATTAGTCAACATGAGCAAGAGCAACAAGAAGAGAACAACTTGCAAGTTCGCCTGTGGTTGGAAAATATTGAGACACAAAAAGGACAACGCACATTTGCAAGTTATGATCTATTCATTCCTCTTTTAGAATAAACCTTCATAACAATATCATTCTTACATATATTGAATCGAAAACCCGTTATTGGATGTGAAGTGTAGCTGAGGATGTGGACGAGAATCTTCTCTTCACCCACATCCTCAAGAAATATCATGCGTCTATAAGGGTGTGAGTGGGATGTGAGTGTCAGGCGTGCTTTCCAATGAAGAAAAGTCACACAACCACTCTCCGCATTCACTCATACCCCAAATAATACTAAATTAAAGCTACAAACTTGTAACAAGTATGTAGAACTTTGAATTCCAGTAAATTATGAAGTATTTAGTTGAAAACACGTCTTTCCACGCTCATTCATTCCAGTTTTAGCTCCGCTTTTCAATAAGTAGTATTGATTAGAAAAAAAACAAGTTAAACGAAAACGTACGATCATTTTCTATATTTACTAGTGATTGCAAAACTTCAAAACGTCTTTCTGCTTTGTAAATGAATGATATTTCTTTCAAATTTCAGCAATAGCCTTTGTTTTTTATCCTAAGTACTCTCTTCAGATCTACGTGAAATCTTCAACCTCTCAGAAAACGGTTGGTTGCAAATCACCAGTAATTGTGGTTTTAGCATTTGCACGTATCATAACACGGTCGATAAACTATTTATCATAATAATGACCTTGAATCTAAAAGTATTATGAAACTATAAATATTATAAATTAAGATATATGATTCATAAGTTATATCGTTTTCATCTTGTTTAAATTAGCTTTTCTTACTGCTTCTATAATATCATTGTGTTTATTTCTCACCCTTGTTTACTAAAGGCTATTCAACTCATGTTGCGCGTTTATTTATACCGCCGCCAAGTAAAAAATGTAAATAATTAATGATTGATAAATCATGGTGATATTTTTATGAGTTTCTAAATCATTTATTTCTTTTTAGAGGTTTTTCATTCATCAAATTTACCATTTTCATTAATGGAAATGATTAAGCGATTCGAATAAAAAATTCATTTTCAAAAGGACGTTCATTTCATAATGTTACTTCATGAACAGATGTAAATAGTCCATCAGAAAAAGTATTTATGATATCATTATAATGTAGTAATGTATATTTATATACATACATAAATATGACATTGATTTTCTTGTCTACTTGAAAAATAATCGACCCAAGAAATAACTTGATTATCTTTTGAATAAGTGGCCAGAATTTCGCGAATAAAATTTTCACCAATAGGATATTCATCAATAACGAAATTAGAGTGTGCTCTTTCAAGCTGTCACGAAACAATATTAATATAGAATAAATGTGAGGGCTAAAGCTAATATTGTTTTAGTATGTATATTATAGCTTAGGCGCTTGAATGTACTAGATAGGATTTGTTAAATCCATATCTAAGTCACAATCAATTCAGCGAATTTCAGAAACTCCTTTAATATCCTTGAATATTTATTGAATATCTGCATTTTGATGGCGAAATAAATTGATCATGAATGTAAAGGCTTGAATAATGTAAAATAGAAATTTACTTAATCGTGACATATAAATGATAATATTCTTCAAATTAGTTTCAGCAACAAATGTTTTTTTTTATTTGGTAGAGGTTGCAAAATACAGAGAGCTATTCTAAAAGTAGCATTTGATGTATAAAAGGTAATGATTAGTTTATCAAAGAAATATATTTCTACAAACATTGATAATGTGGATGGTTTATAAAGCAATTAAATAAATATTGATAAATTTTTTAAATTATTTGTTTCAATAAATTAGGAATTCTTAAATGTATACTTTACTGCTTATTTTTAACTGCGAATGAAGAACCGATGATGACATACGTAGACAGAACGTTTCGAGATGATTGAAACTACCATCAAGTAAATAAAGACAGTCGTAGCAAAATTGAAGAGAAAATAGTTAGGCATAAAGTCTCGAAAGATATTTGTTAATAATAGATAGAAGATGAATTAAAATCTAAACGTTAGAAATTATTGAACATATTAACGATCTATTTAAATATATGTGTATTCACATCATTTGATAAACTTTCTTTTTTTGTTAAAAGTTCCAATCACAAGTGATAAAATTTGACTTTTGAACATTCAATGAAAAACATTCTCGTCTAAACAAATAGAAGATGATTGAAAAAGCAATTAATTATCTTTTAAAACACGATCTATAAGGAGTGTTGAAGTATAGAAGTAGAACTTGGGACTCTTCTACTTCAGACGCGACAGACACTTTAGCAACACATCTCTATCATTACAGATATAACAGTGAGATTAGTATGATAGTTGTCCTTTAGTTTTCTTTCACATTCACTGCAATATATTACGATTAATATCTTTCATCATCGACACGCATTAGCAATAGACAGCAATTCCTAAACCGAAGCTTGTTAATTAATTCTTTCTTTTACAATACCGGCAACTTCAAATTGTTTCACATTTAAACTTCGAAGAGATTGCACTAACAACTTTTTACTATTGATCAAATTATGTCGTCGATTCTTTTAATCATATTTTTGACCAATTACTTGTATTTTTCTTAAAACTTTATTTGATATACAAAACTAAATTCTTACTATCGTTATTTCTTTATATTTATTACATTAATCCCGATTTTGTTTTTATTCATACTCGTTGATAATATAAGTGAAATTCAAAGTTGTTTTATGATTAAATTAAATATCTAATAATCAATTTAAGTTTATCAATAACTTATGCACATAAATCATCTTCCATCTTCATTTTTTTTGACGTATTAGTTATTGAAAGAATTTAAAATAAAGAGATATTGCTAGTGAATAGCCGTAAAGCAGTCTCATTTTCAATACAACATAGACCAAATCTATATAAATTAGGGTCATTTCCAAAAAGAAAAAACACTGTAGATCATGAATCAACGTTAAGCCATTTGGCTTTATGGTAAACTTCTGGTAAGATTTGTAAACAAAATCGATCAAGTAATAAAGGGAGTTATGAGAGAAATATCTTATTTATGTTAAGCAACTAGAAAAAAACAATTTCTGTATTACGTTGTGAAACACGATCTAAAACAAGTATTGAAGTATAAAAGGTAGTAATTTAGACCCCCTCCCCTACTTCACAAACTGTGACAGACGCTTTTGATGGATGATTACCGATTATATATCACTAGCCTCTCATGAAAGGATATAAACTGCTTCCTTTTTGCAGTTGTAGAAGATTAAGCAAAAGTTGATGAAAAATGGTTCCACAGATAGATCGAATAAAACAATATTCTGGTGATTAAGTAGTAACAACAGCTATATCGTGTTTCATATTTAAATCTCGCAGAGATTGCGCTAACAGCTTTTATTGATTAGTTTATAAAATCCATTAGAACGTAAAGTAATGCAGCATGTGGATGTGACTTTGACTAAGGAGCAGAGACGCGCCCACACCAACATCCTCTCGGAGAACAATGCTAAAATTAATAACTCAATTTATAAAAATCTTCTGTTACAGTAAATTATTTTTTCAGCGTTTTTTGTCAAAACTCTCAAAGATATTTTACTATTGATATATCAAATCGATTCAATGAAGAGATTAAGATTATTTCTGTATGTGATCGCACATTGATAATAGATCTAAAATTTTCAGGTAGAAATTCTATCATTAAAATTAATGAAATAGTATATATGTCTAGTCAATCTTCATTAACTGATGATATTAAATAAAAAGAAATCTTATTATTCAATAGATAATATTTATTTATGTTTTACAAGAACTTTTATCAATCTTGAACATTTGAATTCTATGGTTCATCTCATCAGTAACCCATAAATTTCCTTGTTTATCAAATAATAATTGTATTGGTCTATCTAATTGATCTTTTTCTTTACCTTCTCCTCTTTCTCCAACAATAACAATACCTGATTTACTATTTTTCAACCATCGCATAATTCTATCACTATCATAATCAGCTATATAAAGAGCATCCGATTGATCAACAACAACTGACATTGGTTGATAAAATTGACTAAGATTATGTCCTGGACCATATCCACCCGCTCTAACAGAACCTTGTTTATCACCAATAATCCATTCTAAAATTCGATGATTTCCTCCATCTGCTATAAATATTGATTTATCGTTCTTAATAAAGAAATCATATGGAAATAATAATTGATTTAAATGACTTCCTTCTCCATTTCCACCTGCAACAATTTCATTTTCTGGCCATCTTATTATCTGATGATAACCTGCTTGAGAGTAGTATAATGAACCTCGTCTATCAGCATGAATTCCGTAACATGATGCGTTTGCTATAATTTGTTCTCCTTCACGGGCATTTTTTTCCCATTTTAAGATTCGGTTATTTCCATCGCAAATAAACATTGTTCCATTTTTACCGACAATTAGATTTTTAGGATATCTAAGTTGATCGGTTCGATTTCCTTCACCATTTCCACCAGCTACTAATTGACCAACTGAAGATCCATAATTCCATTTAACGACTCGGTGGTTAAATCCATCTGCAACATAGAGATTTGAATCATCATCTAAGAATATTCCAGACGGAAATTGAAGTTGATTCAATTCAGATCCTGATCCATTTCCTCCTGCCATTGTTATACCATTAGTATTCCATGTTGCATTTTCACAAATGCCATCATCAGGTATTGGAGATACGGCTATAAAACAAAAACAAAATGATCTAGTTTTAAATTTAATATTAATACTTGTTGTTGATATGGTTGGGCATATTGATTGAGTTGTCATGTGCATTGGATAACATAATGGACTAGTGTGACATCGAGAATGTTTCACACAAATATAATGTGGTTGATAACATGTTTTATTATCAGCAGCACATGATGATAATTTAGAGCAAGTGGCATATACAAATGCACAAATAGAACTTTTATTGTTATGACTGAGAGGAAGACAACCGCATCCTCTATTTGATGAACATGCTTCATATGGTAAACTATTATCGCATCTTTCTTCACAATCTATTCGATCTTATTTTAAAGATAAAATATTGTTAATATTAAATAAAGAAAAACAGGCTAACTTACTGAATAAACTAAAATTAATAAAAAAAAAACAGAATTACTTTAAGAAATAGTAAAGTATTTGTCATACCCAATAATAAAAAGTGTCACAACATACATTGCCACTATCATTGTCATTTATTTCAATTATCATAGTCGTTCTATTTAATTTATAAGGAGAACAAAAACATCTCTTAAATCATGATGACTATGCATGTAGTCTTTTTTTCTCATTCTTCTATTCTCAGCGATGACATTTTGTTTAACATGAAATTTTACATCGTCCTTATCAATAATATTTTTTTATGCTTTTATTTTATCAAAATGTGTACCTGCGTGTTAGAGAGATGTCATAGTATCCGCTACTCAGATATACAGATTCAAAACATAGTTACAACGATATTTTCCTAATGAGTTTTCAGCAGTCATGTGCCGCTAAACTACGATTTCTAGTTAATCTGATGTAACGAGATAGGCATTCAGTCCGATATGAATAGCTTCTAGAGTTCAAGATATCAAGGTGAGGGTGGAAGCGGGTTGGGGTAGAGTACTTCGTACTTTGAAATTCCCTATCCCTTCAACTCCTGAAATCCCACCCACCCCTACACTCACAAAAACATGTGCTCATACTCCACACCTACAGATACATTTTGCATCCCTATATTCATATACATGAGCAGACTTACACTCTTCCCCGTACGATAGAGTTCCCTGTACGATGAAATACATATTTTGTTTTGTTATTTTATACAACCATAAGTTTTTAAGAATGATGTAAAGCTGGATTTTATCAGTAGTGACATTGCTGTCGCAGATGCAGCAAAAGAGTCTCAAGTTTAAAGCAGTATGGGAGTCGACCTGGGCATCCATCTCGTTACATTAGATCTACTCAAAACTCTCAGACCTATAGATTCAGTATTTTCTATGAATGTTTGAGAAACTTATTTTATTCCAAAATATTCCGAAAAAAGCCATGTTGGTTTTAATGGGGATTAGATATTTTGTACAAGATTTGAGTGGAAACTTCATTAAGTACAAGTGTAAGAAATCTAGCAGATATCAGTGGGATAGTATATATAGATGGTGTATTGCCGCTGGTGTCCATCCTTCAACAGCAGCCACTTCCTAGGTGAGAGATATGCCTATTGTACGTATTTCGGTCCACACCTGAAACGCCAGCTTTCAAAAGCAATTCATTTCTAGAAAGTCATATGATGTCATAGAAACTCATATAGGACATCATATGGTTGTATAGATATATGGGTATTGACTTGAGTGTCCATCTAGTCACACCAAAGTCACTCAAAAAACTCAGCTCTGTAGATAGATGGATGACGACTTCGGTGTTGTCTTTGCAGAATATCATGATTCGTAGCTCGTCGTTACGCAATGTATGGATGTGATGACATTTCTGGCTATGAGAGACATAATTAAGTACTATGCCGAACGTCTTTTATATCGCAAGACAGCGCGTAATCAAAATTACATTTAAGCAGATCTACTGTAACTGATTTTAGTCATTAAAGATTATTCTCTGACATATATTAGCTTTCTTTTGTTAATATGTTGTATCTATGATAAGCAAAATGTTTCAACAAAACTTTATAAGAAGATAATTCTAACTTTAATCAAGTTCAATTACCTGACTTTTCAAACTAGAATATCAGGCTGTTAGAAGTTGCAGGCGTTGGCGTCTACTTTCTTCCTATTCGCTGTCGCATAGTAATAGCTTGCGATGAAGCACACATATAAGCCAATGTGCTATTGGTAAACAGCATCGACTAGCATTACCGCTCAAACATACTCAACGTGACCTTTTTTACGTCATACACAAAGCAAACATGCAGGAACTATATGCGCAAAAATGGAAACTCATAAGCCGACACGTAGATGAAGTGGCCTATAGATTCGAGTATTTTCTACTGCAAGTTGCACAAGAACTTGTTCTAACACTACTATTTTTGTTATAGGCAGACCTCAACGAGTTCTGTTGATTAATGCAATCATATGTACTATAGTTTTAAAGTAATTCTTCAAAATCGTGTGTTACATTTTTTCCAGCACGTAAAAATCAAGAGTCTGGATATGAGGATTGTTGTTGCAAGGCGATATCCGTAAAATCAATCAACGTATTTTCTCTGCTTCTTATTTGTGGTCAAAAAATGTCACAGCTATCGATATATTGGAAAAGTTCCTGAACAAATTCCAGAGGAAAATAGACGAATGTATAGATAATTTCAACAGGGTTCACATTCACACACATAACGACCTGATGAGACCCTCAGGCAAGGCTGAAACGCGTCATAGTTTGCTTCAGACTTCACAGTAGTTTACTGATAGCAGGCCGGTCCGGCCTGACTTACTCAGACCAGTTTCATATCTGGTATGCAGAATCATGGAGATCGATTATCACCTTAGCTAAGACCACTAATGGATGTCCAACACTCGTCGATTCTTAACTACTTTTGATAGGTTCGTTCAAGAGATGATCGACTTCGCTCACAACAATTCATAATTGTTGTTCGTTATCGAATGGCTCACTCTCGGAGAGCGAAGATAAAGATAAGTAATATGCTATGTATTGTGTGAGAGAAAGAGAACAAAAAGCAACTCATTTCCCACGTATTTACAGAAGGAATGAGATAAGCTTTTTTAATACATTTTTTGTATATATGGGTGTGTTCATGGAAAGTCGCCAGGACCATCCGGCGATCTCATCCAAATCTAATGATACTTTCAGAGTTTGTACAGCTTTCTACGCTGATCATTTTGATGGTAAAATTTTAAAAAATTGATCGTATTTTCATTGAGATATGGGTGAAATACTTTTACCACATTTTTGTCATTTTTACATTTTTTTTTGCAAAAACTAAAGTCAGAATAGTATCGAAAAAATGGTAATATGTCATCGCTTGTCACTCGGATCATTAAATCAATGGCATATTCTGATTCCTCCTGAAAAACTGCATCAGAATCTGTAGAAATTAATAGAATTTTCATGAACGTTTTTGGAATTCCTTTCTTCACTATATGAAGTAATACTTAATGAAAGTGTTTGAAAAATTTGATCAGAGAAGTAGAATAAATCAGGATACTGGTATTGGTAGTTCGATAGAGCCGAACTTGCTCTACAACATTCACTAGCCCCCCCCCCCCCAACTATCATCTTGAAAGCGGTGAACATCAACAATACTTTATACTACCATTATTTAGTGAATTTCGATGCATATAGCCGTCCAATCTAAAAGAATTATATCAGAAACCAGTACAAAATTCACCATCACCATTAAGAATATGTAAAGGTTCTTACGTCAATGGTTTTCATACTAGATTATGTAGCAGTGAATCCTATTTTGATCATAATACAAGCTAAATAATATGAATACATAAGTTTTGCTTTTGTTAGTATGTGTAAAAATTATCTATTTTTCTGCAGAGGATATTGATAAGATAGTTCTATTTAATTAAATTTAAAATCGACTGAAGTATACGAGCAGATCATGAAAAATTGGACCAGAGTTTGTATGAAATCAACGATCTCTAATATGAAATGCTTACATATCTAGATGATGTTTGTATGACTTGTATAACACATACGGAGGAAAGAATGAATAAGAAAACTGATTCTGAATTAACTAAAATATTAGATTTTGTATCATAATAATATAATCGATTCGATAGAGCAAACTTTGCTCCATACGGTGCACTAATTACTTAGGGCAGTCCAAAAGTAGTGGCGGAGGTACTTACTTTATTTTCTTACAGAAAGCTGTAAAAAAATTTCCTTTTTTATGAACAGATAGAGCGTCTTTCGCTCTATTTTTCTATGCTATTTGATCACTATTCAACTGGTATCATAATAATACAATTTTGATAAGATCTGTTTTCTTCGCATATGTGCTGGTAGCATGAATGCTCGTGAGTATTTTTTGAATAAAGTTTGATAGAAACAGGATAGAGAACTGCGATTTTCACCGTTGGAAAGAGGAGATGACGATGCATCGAACCATGTATTGCTGATTTTCCTAATATTATTTTTGAAGTTTTTTCATTCAATTCTCCAACCGTCGGGAAAATGCTGTTTTATGAAAAACGAAAAAAACAAAAAAATCGATAAAAAATCGTAGTAGACGCCCGTCTGGAATACGTATTATCTCAAAATAGTTGAACTTAAACATCTGAGTCTTTCGCACTTTGTATATCTGTAATTAGCTGTTTGAATGAGAGCCTTATTATTGAAAATTCACTGTAAACAATTCACAGGATAGGTTTGTTCTTTAAAAGGTCAACTGAAAATCTTATAAAAAACAAGTTAGAAAAATCAGTAATACATGGTTCGATGCATCTTCATCTCTTCTTTCCAACAGTGAAAACCGCAGTTCTCTACCTTGTTTCTATCAAACTTTATTCAAAAAATACTCACGAGCATTCATGTTCATGCTACCAGCAAACATGCGAACGAAACAGATCTTATCGAAATTTTATTATTATGATACCAGTTGAATAGTGATCAAATAGCATAGAAAAATAGAGCGAAAGACGCTCTATCTGTTCATAAAAAAAAGAAATTTTTTTAAAGCTTTCTATAAGAAAATAAAGTACCTCCGCCACTACTTTTGGACTGCCCTAAGTAATTATTTTTTGTCCTTCTTCTTCTTCTTCTTCTTCTAACTCATTCAGACATCACACTTCATCTTGTTGTATTCATAAAAAAGTGTACATTGAACAACGATTTCTAGTCAATCCAGAAAATTTAGTGTCTCCTTCGAGACATCCTGCGATTATCTTCTAAACTGTAATGACTAACGTCAATCATCTTTTGAGGCAAAAAGAATATCGAATAGAAACGAGAAAAAACAATCAAGGTAACGGAGGATTTCGAGTCATTATTCTCTATTTTTTGTTCGAGACGACCGATCTATTGATAGGATCACTTCTTATTGTTGTTGAACTTTATTCACTTGTCTTTCGACATTATCAGCTATTCGGAGACTGTTGGACAAGAATTTATTTTGTTCATTTGTAAAGAATGAATTTGGAGAAAAACATCAATCAGTTTCTTTCGGAGCCATGTATTCTTACGAAGATTTGGAGAAAAATACTCGAAATAACTGAAGGTACTAGACTCAACTACGCAAACTCAAACTATTTTTTGATAAGCTTAGAAGAGAAGTTTGGTTGCGGAAGACAAATGGGGACTATTGATCCGATCTTAGTTGTCTATACCAAATGAAAGAGGCTTACTGAGCTTGAGAGAAGTTCTCGTCATTCATGTCAATTATATCTTTCGATATCTCTTAGAATCGACATTGGCCACCAATCAATGGCAACAGCTATTAATTTTTTGCTATTCTCATCGTCTTTCCATGTTCATCTAGAAGAAGCTTCCATGTGTGTACGAGGATTCGGAGCTAGTCAAGAAAGACATAGATTGGGTTCGATTCGAATGCATTTACGTTTGTAAAATCATTCCATCAAGAAGAACTACAAAAATGACCAGGTACTTTCGGTTGAATGTCCTAAAGAGTGATTCAAGATTTTTGATCCTTCTCAGTAAATTAAGGTTGTCTATGAACAAACATATAGCTAGTTGATCGATGTAAATAAGCAATTTTTCAGAACAAAATCAGCACTATCGTCTGACAAAAAAATTGATCGAAATGCATAAGTATTCTACAATGGAATATTGTAGTAGTTTTATTAATCTTCAGTTAACATTTTCAGCTTACATATTTTTAGAAAGTTGCATGATTTGTCTTACAAAGATTTTTAGAGCGTATCATTTTCGTTAAATGAAATTAGTTATATTTCCTGATTATGAATATTATGTTAAAAAACTATTCATTTTGTCGAAGTTCTCGATGTTGAATTTTATTTTATTATTTTTACACATACAATCTGAATAAATCGACAAGTAAAATATGGAAATTGCGATTTTCTAAAAACACTATAAAAACTTGGAAAGATAAATTCCAGCAGGTACTGATATATTAGAGAACAATTTCCAAACACTAATCTTCATAACCTAAAACTCAATACGGAAGACTTTGACCATAGAAATAGTTGTATAAAATCATATTGGTAATTACCAAATATAACTAGGTACTAATATCATTTAACGAAAATGGTGCATCCTAAAAAGCTTTGCAAGGCAAAACATGCCACTTTATTGAAAAAATGAATTCTTTTTCTTCAGGTAATAGTGCAAATTTTTCTCTACGAAATTGTATTTTTCGCTTGACATTTAGACTAATTAAATTTTAAGGTCACGAGAGTGTCCTACAAGTTTCAGCTCAAACGGATTTTTATTCTCTAGATAATCGGATTTGAGAAAAATCTATAATTAATTAATAATTCGAAAAACTTGAGCTGTCTTGAAAATTCGACTGTCTAGAGAATAAAACATCTGTTGCAACTGTAACTTGTAAGGCATTCTGGAGACATTGGAATCTAACTATAATGTAAATCTGGTGCGGAAAGTATGTTATTCGCGATTTTTTTCCAAAATACTTTGCAGAAGATTGAAAATCAAATAAAAGCGGTCATAACTCAAGAAGATAGGTGTAAGGAAATAAATAGTTTGAAAATTTTTCATGGCTCATTGAACTCTACTTATGACCAAATGATGGGGCCTAAATGACGTTAACATGTAGATATGTGTCCTCGTGAAATATTTCTTTGTACTCTACCATTGTAAATACTGGTGATGAACAAACTTGGCTGAAACTGCTAAAAGACCCAACCATATCACGCGTAAGGTATTTGTTTTTCATGCAATAAATTTATTTTATAATAAAGTTTTTTTGTCAAACGCGATACATAAGTTAACGGTCATTGATATTGATGCAAAATGTTTTGAGGTACATCGAAGCTTTCCACTTGGCCTTTGTTCAAAACAAGGATACGATCACTCTGAATCACTGTATTGATTCGATGAGCAATAGTCAAGACAGTTCGATCTTGAAATTGATGAATGATTAATTGTTGAATGACATGATCCGTTTCTGGATCGACATTAGCCGTTGCTTCATCGATCAACAAGATTTTGCTTTGCTTAAGGATGGCTCGTGTGGCACAAATCAATTGACGTTGTCCTGCACTCAGATTGATGCCTGATTCAGCGATGGGCAAGAAAAGACCATCGGAATGACTTGCGACAAACGTTTTGAATTGTACAGCTTCGAGTGCCTTCCAACATTGTTCATCTGAATAATGATTGAACGGATCAAGATTTGATCGAAGAGAGCCACTGAAGAGTGCTGCTTGTTGAGGAATAACACTCAGATGAGACCGAAGATGTTTCAGACTAATACGACTGATATCTACATCATCAATGAGAATTTGACCCGTTATAACAGATTGATCTATTAATCGAAAGAGAGATCGGAAAAGAGACGATTTTCCGGCACCTGCAGTTAATCATCGGTATAGAAGGATCAATAAAACATCAAAATAGTCATACCTGTTCGACCGATTATTCCAATATTCTCACCTGGTTCAATACGAACTCGTCATTAAAATTTGAGCTTCAGCTGCTTGTCGAATACCCCACCAACTATGTTCACAAATTATTGTATCTTCAGTTTCATCCGGTCAATTCGTCTTCACACTTGTTTTATTTGACACGATTATTTCTGAATAATCTTACAGAAAATATCCTTTTACAGTAATCATGTAAATCAAGAGAAGGACCATTAGTGACGAATCGAGTTTATCTCTTAAGATAACAGAGAGTAAAATAGCAAAAGCTGTGAAAATATTATTTAAAAGATCGATAAACAAGCCGAACCAATGTGAGATACCTATCATTGTCAGATTGGCATGAGTATTTACATCGATTCGATTCAGAAACGATTTGACCAAATAATCTTTGAGTTTCAACGCACGAATAGTCATCAACCCATTCAATGACGATGCCCAATAAACTATAAACTAGACTACGTGTCACACTTTCAAGACGTTTTAGTTGATAATTGGAACGTACATAAGTATGACGTAAAAGAAAAGAGATTCCTATGAATGGCAAAAGAATGAGGATAGTCCACGGATTGATTAAACCAATGACAATGATCGAACCAATGGTCATCAATAATGATTGAGCAGAATCGAACAGAGTTGTAGGCAAAATTTCATCAATCACTTGTTGATCACGACTCGCTCGATTGAGAATACGCTCACTCGGATTACTTTCATAAAATTGTATCGATGATATTCAACAATCCATTGACCATCTTTTTCTCAAGAGAATTGGTTCCACTCCAGACTATATGAAAGAAAAAAATTGCACGCATTAGTTATATCAACAGCGTTATTAAACTCAAACCAACATAGATGAAGACAGACGATGACGAATGTAGCTCATTGGCATAGAGCTTTTTCATTAGAATCGCAAGCGAAATATTCGTTGTTTCATAGAAAATTTGTCCCATTGAAAGAAGAACAATAAGTAGAACGGTGGTAAACGAGCTGGAGAATGATTGAGTAAACAAAAAACGCCAAACAGACCAACTAACACTATCTTTTATCGATGTTTCATCTTGAATGATCGATCGATGATCCATCAGAGATTGTTCGATATCAAGCATATCGGTTAATGCTATTGGTTTCACATTAGTTTCTTCATCTATTCAATCGATTGTTCGATGTTCGATCTGATATTCAGTCGAAGAAGATTCAAATCGAATATGACCATGATCGAAGTAAAGGATTTGATCCGAATCAATCAGATATTTAGTTTGATGTATGATTAGAAGGCGAGTTTTGTTGTTCAAGAATCCATGTGGACCGATTGATTGATCATAGATTTGTTTAGCTACATTGTTATCAACCGAAGCCAATGGATCATCGAAACGATAAATATCAGCATCGATGTACAAAGCTCGTGCAAGATATAATTCGGGCATTTTGCCCTCCACTCAAAGTCAGACCGTTATCACCAATCATTGTCAGATCAGCACTCGGTCCAAATGCCTTCAGATCCACATCAAGACAACACGCACGTAAGACATTCATATAGCGGTGTCTTATTGAATGGTTGATCAAGAAGAATGTTGGCACGCACTGTATCGGCAAAGATCCAAGGAGATTGAGATGCATATGAGAAAGAACTTCCATTTGTATTAATCTGACCATGAACAAGAGGGATTTGATCGAGAATGACTGCGAAAAACAACGATTTACCTGAACCAACACCGTCCACAATACCAACCAAGGAACCAGGTTCAATGCCAATATTCAATGAAGACAAGCCTATCGCGTTGTTTTGCCAAGAGAACGAAGTATTTCTTATGGTAATTTTGCCCTTTTCGTGATACTGATCGATATCACAGGAGTTGAATGTTTGTTTTTGACTTTGCCACAAAAACTCATCGATTCGTTTGATAGATACTCGGATTTGAATGAGTTTTTCAATGGCTATTGGCAAGAAATTGGTCACAGGTGATCGTATGACACCGTAAATTGAAACTGCAGTAAAAATTTCGATCGATTTAAACGAACCATGTGTTAACCAAACACCAACTAATGTTGCCAATGTGATCAAAGGCATTAATGCAAAGAACAATTCCATATTCATCGCACGCATACGAGATGCCTTTCGAATGGCATCGAATTCTTGTTGACGCATTGAATCGACTTGTTTCTCGACGGGTTCCTCCCAATTGTTCATTTTAACAGCATAACATCCATTTATCATTTCACTCAATGTTTGAATTCGTTTATCGGCACATCTTGCGATCGTCTCATGATATTCACTAAATTTTCGACTAAACATTAACTGCAAAGGAATCAATAGGATAAGTACCAAGTAGCCACACAATGTGGGTAAGAACCCAATAATCCAACAAAGAAGAATAAATCCAATTAGAATCCCGAGTGGTGCTTCCCATAAGAAATGAAAATAAACAGAAGAATCAGAGAATTTGGTTGCATCGTTGCTAACTAAATTGATTGCTTGTGCACTGGTGATTTGTTGCAATGATAAGTTATTGCTAGAAAGAAGTCGAGTGTAAATTAATGATTGGAGACCATGATGAATTCTTAAGTCAGTTCGAATGGCGAGAAATGTAGATTGTTGAAAGAAAAATGGAGGAATTATCGAACAAACAAATAATATCGCCGTATACACATATCCTATTGAAGACGATGCCTGATAATCACTTATAAACAAAATGATCTGACGAAGAATTAACGGTTGAACCATACGTGCCACTAAAAATGGTATAAGAAGAATTCCTCCGACTATGAATTCTTTCCAGAATGCTTTAACAATCACATTCAATATTTTCGTTAACTTCCAATCATGCAATAGAAAATTTTCCAATAATGACGAAGATTTGTCCTTAGTCGTCAATTGATCGAGATCATCATCAGTCAATGTTCTTTTGTAACCTGAAGACTGGACTGAAAGGATCCACGAAAAGCACAAGAGATGACCCCATCGAAGCCACGATGACTCTGCCCATTCCAGACGCGATGATTGATGTTCTTTCTCATTTACTTCCTTCAATGAGTTTTTCTTTCCATCAATTAACAATTGCCTTTCATCCATCTTCTCTCTCATAGCAGGATAGAACAAACCACTTCAGTGTGATTCGACAGGACAAAGATTGAAACAAGCCTGGCAACCTTTATTCAGATTGCATTTGATTGATCTTTGGAAACAAAAAAAACACAATATTTTCGTTTTTCAATAATTAACATTCATTCTTTTATAACAATAATTAAGTTTTTTTACTTAGTCCCAATTAGGTTTGCTTTAAAAACTTGCAACTAATCAGAAGCCCCTTCAGATAAAAGAATCGGACGTAAGATCACATAGAGTTTTGCAATATCATATGAATACAACTTTTTTCATAAGATCTTACTGTAAGACTCATCTGAATCTTATCACTTCACATGTTGTAAAACTTGTAATAAACTATCCATTAACATTATTTTAAAGAACCAGAAGAACCGATAGAGCTTTTCTCATTGGGAAAAAGCTTCATACTTCGATTGCTAGAAACTGAAATTGGGGATCATCCAAAAATTTTATTACAGCAAAAGAATGCACTTAAAAAACTGCGCCTTCTGATGTAAAAAACACCAGAAAGTTAATCAACTTCTTTAAATAAAGAGTACAATCCATACCTTTTTTTACGCTAATTTTCATTTATTTAGTCATCATTTTTTAGCCGCACTTTAATCTAACATGAATACACCGCATATAATATGGAAGTTAGATCTATAATGAATATTCCATGACTCAAGAACATCACTTATCTTTTCATTTCAAATGATTTAAATATGCAAAAAGTGTTTCAAAACACATTGATCTATATTGAGCAACACGCAGTTCTCTGTAAAATTTGTTTTAGATTTTTGTCTTGCAGTGCCTTCCATTAGGAAAATATTCATTGGTACAGTTTGCTTGTACATGATTACGATCGCTACTGCCCTATTATACATCTTTCTTCTATATGAAAAGTCTCTCACTCAAGAAAGAAGTCCACTAACTGATAAATCTCTTTTAAGTCGAGACTACGTGCGTAATGTAAATACAAATGATAAATGGATACCTTGACAAGAGTTCAAACTGGTCGCTTACTGCGATATAGATACTATATTTTAACGGCATTAAAAAAAGTAATTGCTATGGTCTCTATCAGGAGGATTAGAAAACTTGATTTTTACATCTTGACTTGAAACTTTGCATAGAAAGTGACCTAAATCAGAATTCGTTTTTGTGAATGTTTCAGATCTTGTCGCTGTTCCTATCCTTGATACAACTATGATAATAGCGTGTCTTTTATACGATTCATCTATCTTGCAACGAATAACGATAGACGATTCGTCCGGTGCAGTAGAGAACCCTCGCTGGCGGGTATGACTTATTTCGATTTTTTCATGTTTTATTTTATCGTATATCAAACCAGTTTTACTGATGTCAATGATTATTTTTGTGGGTACCCTGTATAAGAATATTTCTATTAAATGAATTTTCGTCAAAATACACCTAATATGTTTTATCAAATCACTTTGATTTCAAGTTCTGTTATCGCAACAACATAGAAGCATTGTTCGTTGTTGCAATTTAATATGCATTTCTTTCGTATAACTTAGATCACATCTTTCGCAGAAACAAAAGAGATAACAGACTGAATCCATTATGACATTTCATTTGGGTACATTACTAATATAGAATTTGTAGTCCTATGAAATTTTATGCTCATTAATAGATGTCAAAAGAGAAAAAATTTTAAAAAACATATAATGAAAAACAAACTTTCAGCGCAATCGTCACGGAATTAAAATATTAAACACAATGGAACTACTGTATATACTGTGAAGAGCTCAAGGGAAAAAGCGAAAACTCCATACTTCACCTGTACTTCAGTCTACTCCAAGATTGTGCCAAATGATTCTCTACAGCTTCTGAGCAATTTCAATTTTACTACCAAAATATGCCACAAACATACTAATTACTTTCAGTTTATTGTACCGCAAAATGTAATTATTAGTGAAGTATGATAAAGTATTTGCAATTTATTACCAAATAGATTTGTATAAAATGAACTCAAACTAAGATATGTTCCTGATATATTAATACTAAGTACCCTGAAGTACGGAACTTTCGCCTTGTCCCTTTGTGAAAATTGCATCATATAAATAACAGGTTATAGCAACACCAAAACGTAGCATATCGAAAAACCCAGCAACCCTATACAGAGACATCAAAATCTTTGCTAGTAGATTAAAAGAGCATCGGCATGTTACTTCTCAACGTATACTTCAACACTCATTAACAATCATGTTCCCAAAAAAGAACTATAATAATGAAACGATAGTAGTACGTAATTTCAATAGTGATTCAGAGGTAGTTATGACTAATCAAAAGGTTGATTTGGCTCTTATAAGACGAGAAAGACAAGGAAACAAAGACTTATGCTAGTCTACCAGCCATCCGATCGGATCAGTTTAGACCGACATCCGTACTAGCAAGAAAAAATCCTACCAATTCCAACACTATCGTTCTTACACTCGAATCACAAGTTTTTACCCCAAGTCCAGTTTTTTAACATGATAGTATAGTTATATTTATCTGATTACGTACAGGGTAACGAGAAAAAGAGGCAAATCATAATTACATAAGATGCATGAGGATCCAATCGTTAAACGCTAGAGAATTATACACTAGAGAATACGTATGACGGGTTCACTGTAGATTTCACTTTCGAGTCTTGTAAATATGAGAGTATTTCTAAGGACACATTTTAAAACTTATTTCAATTAATAGATCGAATAGAGATGTTGAAATTGTACAAGTTTCAAGAATCGAAACATCTAAAAAACACTGAATATTTGACATATGAGTAAGTCGAGAAAACTGTCAAGCTTCATATTCTATCGAATCGAACGTGATTGATCTTGTGTTTTGATTCGACAACGTTTTCTTTCAGAGACTCAAATTTATGGATTGTATGGTGTGTAGAATGCAAAATTCGAATGGAATTTTGTTTTGTCGTTCTTTGGTTAATGATTTGATGAAGCTTGACGAGCTTGCTACGAATTTAAGGTTTTTATTTAAATTTCAATTACGATCTTTTTTTTTCAAATTTTATCAAAATATTTTATTCTGATTCAGTAGAAAAAATGAGTATGAAAATGTTATGTGTTTAGATTTAAAATTAATAAGACTAAAAAATTCTTGTCCAATATAGATGCTTTCAACATGTCCTATAATACGTATTTTTGAGTATCGCTGTAAACTTATCTATTATTTTATAAGAAGAGATAGAAGCAAATATCTTATCTCATTAGAATCGTCAGATCGTGACCTACAAAAGTTTTGATTTAGTTTATTTAGATTATGTTTTATTGTTTAGGAAATTGAATTTTTTTTCTTATTTGATAACAAAATTAAATAAAAGTTAAAAAGCGAAGTAGACAGTATATTTAGAATTGGCTCTAAAACCTCCATGGAATCATATGTATTTTAGGGGAAAATGTTTCCGATGGAAAATACGTCTGGGATCTCCTCAGGTAAATTTTTCGAAAATGTTGCCCCTAACCCAGGAAGAATCATTTTTTCATAGGAAAAGATATTTCTTAAAACATGTATAATTCAATGAATGTTTTAGCGCTAATTCTAAATATACTGTGTACTTCGCTTTTTAACTTTTATTTGATTTTGTTATCAAATAAGAAAAAAAATTCAATTTCCTAAACAATAAAACATAATCTAAATAAACTAAATCAAAACTTTTGTAGGTCACGATCTGATGATTCCAATAAGATTAAACACTTGCTTCTATCTCTTGTTACAAAATAATAGATGAATTTACAACGATACTCAAAAACATGTATTATAGGACATGTTGAAATTATCTATATTGGACAAGAATTTTTTAGTCTTATTAATTTTAAATCTAAACACAACATTTTCATACTCATTTTTTCTGCTAAATCAGAATAAAATATTTTGATAAAATTTGAAAAAAAGAACGTAATTGAAATTTAACAATTTCTATGAAAAAAGAAGTTCATAATTGCCATTGCAACATATTGAGTCATTGGAGTCTTTTAAGATATTCCCACCAAATAGTGGATAGATCGAAATAAAAACTATAAATTCGTAACAAGCTCGTCAAACTCTACTGAGTCATACACAAAAGAACGAGATAAAAACTCCACTCGAAATTGATAGTCCTTGCATCTCTTACTCAAAAATGAAACCATGAATAAACTGAGACGAAAAAGAGTGTTCAGTCGCCTCAGCTTGTTGTGATGTAA